TAGGAACTGAAATTGAAATTAATATAAATTAACAATGTATAATTAATAAAATAAATAACAGTTAATATTAATAAGGGTTATATTTGAAAAAAGTTACAATAAACCCATAATAAACCATTTTAACTAATTTTTCAGTAAATTAACTTATGTCATTTAAAACATGTATTCAAAAAATAAGCTAGCTTATAATTACTAAATAATGTCTTAATATGAGATGAGCGACTTATTAAGAGCTTGATAATGAATGTAGTGATTACTGTTTGTGAATTTTTCGAAAAAAGAAAGTATTTCTATTTTAGTATAAGTTATTTTATTATTAAGTTAACATCTATTTTTAATAATTTATAAATAAAAAAATAAATCACGTAAATAAAGTATCTATATCATATTCTATATATGGGACAAGACACGTAAACTATCACATTGATGTCGAGAAATAGAATTATTGAATTTATTTCATTTTAATTTTTTAACAGTTTGTTACAAAATATTTGTAAATGAAATATAAATAGAACCATAAACTATAGATATTTAAAGGGAAATGTTTAAAAAAAATCCAACCAATTATCACATTTAAGTATTAAGTTACTAATTTTATTTGAACAAATAATCTTTTAAACTTTTTGAAATCAAACAGATAAACCCTCGAACTTACTGAAATCAAACAAAAAGGCGCACGTACTTATTAAAACCGAGAAAAACCCAATGAACTTTTATGTTTTGAGTGATTAAGAGGTTGTTTGGTTGGTTTTTCGTCAAGTCATATATAAATAAAGTTATTTGTTTAGATTAATTTGTATGTATGGTTTGAGAAGGTTTTTGTTTGGATGAGTTTTTTATAAATGAAATGAGCGTGTTTTTAATTGGGAGGGGTGGAGCGGGTTTGAAAAAACTTGTCTTTCTGCACAAGACTTCTTCCTAAAAGCTTACTGACTTTCTATTTCGTTAAGTCACTACCAAATAGTCACTTATAGTTGATCGAATAAGCTATGAGTTTTAATAAAGTCATTAATATATTAAGTTGCTAACAAACAGATTTAAAGTCCCTAAATATTTTTTTTGAATAAATAAATCCTTACGCTTATAAAACAATATATTAATAAATTAGTTGAAAATTTCAGCAAACCAATAAATGAAACAAATACACCATTTTTATTAACCCTTAATTATTTTTCAGATGTAAATGACAATCACAGGTGTTTGTGTTTGTGTTTGTTATGACGTGATTGTCATTTGAATATTAAAAATAAAATAATTATTAACTTCTTCTTAATTTTCATTTGAGTCTAAAAAATAAATAATGGATGATGAAAATAATATTTAATAATTTTCTATTGATTTTATGTACTTCGTTACTGATCTAGATACATAGATTGAGAACTAATATATTATTTTCTTTTTATAAGTGTAAAGATTTGGTTCAAGAAATGTAAAACAGTAAAAGGACTTGATCATCCAAAATATGAAAGTTTATTGGATTTCTTTGGTTTTAAATTTTAAAAATTTAATTGTTTGCTTTCAGAAAATTCAAGGTTTTATTTATTTCAAAAATGTTTAGAGACTAATCACTCAAATGTGATAATTTGGTGAGCTTTTTAAATATTTTCCATATTTACTTTAAAATGCAAAAGCAATGGCTCATGAAATTAAACAAATGATTGTATATACTGTTAGGTTTACGTAAGATCAACATGTTTTCGTGAGACCTATGAGACCACATTTTTATACTTGAAACTTCATACCAAAACATTGTGTAAGTAAAAAAATTTGAACATTCACAGCACAAACATTGTTAAGGTTACCTTCATGGTGTTTTAGTGTGAGATTTCAAATGTAAAAAGATGGTCTCACGGGTTTCATGAAAACAAGTTGGTTTCACATGATCTCAAGTCTCTCTATCTCTCTGTATGTGTGTGTGTATACTAGAAGGGTACTCGCGCAATGCAGCGAGATACATCTTCATTTTAATGTTTCTTTTTATTTATTGTATTTGTTGATATAATATGGTTTATGTGATTTTGAGAGAGATAATGTTTTTACTTTTGAATAAAAATAAATTTGAAGATATCATAAAAGTTTGAAAAAATATATCGATATTAATATCAAATTAACTATTTAAAGGTTCTCGGTTTTTTGTAAAATTTCTTTAATTCAGTTTTTTATTTTAATTTACATTAGGTCTAATAGCGAAATAATTTATGTTTAGATTAACAATATAATTTTTATAAAGATAATGATTTTGTTGGAACTCAATGATTATCTTAATTATATTTTGGATTTTTTATATTTAAAATGAGATGTTTATCTTGTATTTGTTTATATTTATCTGCAGTTAATTCCACGAATTCAAAAATGAAGTTTTAATAAATTGTACGTACGCATAATTTACTTGTAACATTAAATTTTAAGTAATATGCATTAATAAACAGTACTTCATGCATAAAGAATGATTTTTAGGAGTTTTTGTCAAATGTTTTATAATATATATATATAGAGAGCGAGAGAGAGAGAGAACGTTTTAAATGCAACTAATCATATTTGTACAATCAATGCAACTCAATCAATTGAGATATTTATATACATGATGAGAGTTAATTTATTATGATTTGAATATTTATTGAAGATGACCATGACTTATTAATTATGATTAATACTTTATGTGAGGAAACAATCAAAACTTTTATGAAATCACATATTTATCAAATTAAATGAACGGATGAAATTGAGTTGTATTGGTTGTACAAATATAAAGAATTTGACCTTTGCCCATGATCATGGTTACATGGGATTAATCGAGACGTTTACAAACTGACTCAAACACCTACGGTTATTATTTTGTATCTACACATATTTATTAATTAGTTTTATTAAATTATTATTTTTTAAATACAATTGAAATGCCCACTAATAATCAATATCTAACGCGTTTTTATATTAATTAAAATATCCAAAGTAACGTTATAAAAAATATAAAAAATTCAACTTACAATTGACATTATTTAAACGATTTTGAAATAATTTTGGAAAAAATTAAGTTTTTATATATATAATTTCTATGATTCAATGAATGATATGGAAGGAAGTCAAGAAAAGAACGTTACCTTAAAATTTAAATCATATATTCGGGCAACGGTGGTCTAAGCAATGAGAGAGACAGCCATAGCCGAAGGGGGGAAAGCTCCAAACACATTTCCGTTTTTATGACCTTCAACCTTTTCTCTTGCTTCCCCTACTTCCAAATAATACTCTGTCCTTCCACCACCTCCGCCGCCCTCCTCCACCACAATCCTTACCGGAATAACACTACAGAATGACGGATAAAGTTTACCCTTCATCAAAGCCCAATGCCTCCACTGCCGCCACCAAAAACCCTAAATTACCACCTCCACCAATGAAAGCCCAACTTTACAACCAGAACCGCCATCCCTACCGGCCGAATCTGACCAGTTATCACCGGAAGCGCCGCCATGGATTGCGTCGGTGCTTCTGCCTATGTTGCTTCTGGTCAATCCTTATCGTAATCCTCCTCCTCCTCCTCGCCACGATCTCCGGCTGCGTTCTCTACCTCCTCTATCATCCACACCGTCCGACGTTCACGGTTGCCTCACTCAAAATTTCGCAATTCAACCTCACCACCGCCACCGACGGTACCACACACCTTACCTCTCAACTTAACCTCACTGTTTCGACAAAAAATCCGAACAAGAAAATCGTGTTTCACTATGATCCAATCGCGATCACTTGCTTATCTGACGGAACACAGATCGCAAACGGATCTTATGGAAACTCGTTCACCAGCAATCCGAATAACATCACGATTCTCCGTTCGTCATTAAGTAGCAACTCTCTGCTGCTTGAAACAGAGACAGTGAATCAAATGAGATCAGATCTGAAGAAAAAATCACGATTGCCATTGAAAATATTGCTTGATACTGAAGCTACAATGAAAATCGAATCATTCGAGAGCAAAAAGATCGGGATTAGGATCAAATGCGAGGGAATTCATAGCCTAACTCCAAAAGCTGGTGGTGGAAAATCCAATAGTTCATCGTCATCAGTAGCTGCTACTGTTTCTGATGCTAAATGTGAGGTTGATCTTCGGATCAAGATCTGGAAATGGAGTTTTTGAAGCTTCTAGTTTCTACAGAATCTATATTTGTTATTATATATATTATTATTTCGAAATTCATGAGTTTGATTATTCATAGTATTTGTTGAATGTAAGTGGTGTTCTAATATTTTCGTATAATATATACCATTAAATTTACGTTAAATTTATGTTCTAAAGATGAAATATGAGGGATTGTTTATGTTGTTTACTATAATCACAGATATTCAGATCAGTTTATATACACCTCGACTGATTTCATTAGTTCCAGTCCCAGCAGTTGAGAAAACCCTACTGACTTTAGCAGATCTGAACCCGTTATGGTGAAGAATCTAATTTAAAGATCCAAGTCTTATTGTCAATAAAATAAAATATGTAAACCGGTGTTTATGTTTTATCTATAAATATTACATAACATGAAGGTTTTTTTTTTTTTTTTTTTAAACACAAGATATAAAGTTAGTAGCTGTTTAGCAGTTGCTGAATGGTTTGGTGCAAATAATCAAGTAGTCAGAATGATTAAGAGGTTTTCATAATATAGTGCAAAATGAAATATAATTATTTGGTAATTATTTACAACAAAATAAGGGCGCTGAATGATTAAGAGAGACCCAAGATATAAAATCATTAAGAGAATTTTATAACCATTAAGAGGCAGACTTTTTTCGCCAAACAAGATTCATCTTTTAACGATTCAGAGGCTGCCTCTTAATGGAACTATTAAAAAATAAATAAACAACCCCTTATTGTTCATTCTTCACACTTTAATATTTATTTTTATAATTATTTTGCAAAATTGTTTATTATTTTGCCATTTCTTCTCGTATTAATTCCTGACTCTATTATTGATTTTAATGATCAATTTTTTTATATTTATACTATATTATAAAGTATTTGACAAAAACTCTTAAAAATCATTTTTTATGCACAAAATGTTGTTTATTGATGCATAATACTTAAAATTCAAGATTACAAGTAAATTATGCATAAGTACAACTTATTAAAGTTTCATGTTTGAATTCGTGTAACTAACTATAGATAAACATAATCTAATATAAGATAAGTATCTCATTTTAAATATAAAATATCTAAAATAAAATTAGGATAATAATTGAGTTCTAACATAATACTTAATTATTATCTTTATAAAAAATTATATTATTAAACTTAAATTAAATTACTTCGTTATCAAACCTAAATCAAATTATAATAAGAAAAACTAAATTAAAAAAATTACATAAAAAATTAGAAATTTTAAATAGTTAGTTTGATACTAATATAAATATATTTTTTTTCAAATTATTATGATATCTTCATATTTATATCTTATGCAAAAGTAAAAACATTATCATTTTCTTGAAACCACATAAAACTGTATTATAACATCGAAAAAAGAAATACAACATTAAAATTGAAATGTATCTTACTTCATTACATAAATACACTTCTAATAATAAGTTAAGTAAGAATGACCGATAAGTCTTATCAATAAATATTTATCCGTATAAATATTTATGGTAAATAACATCTAAAATAACTTTGACTTGATGTGGATAATGATGCATGTGGATGAGGGAGATATGTTATAAAATTGTCCCATTCATTACTCATCATCTTATGCTTTGCTTCTACTCTTGAATTCATCCATTTTTGTTCTTTAATTTTACGGTTATTGAACCAGTAATATTATAGTCTTTGGTCTTTTAAAAAGTCAGAATTTAAACATCATTTTAGGTGGGAAAGGTGTGTAAATTTATTTATTGCATTTATCGTATATAAATATTATATGTTTCAAAAAAACATCAATCTAATCTCATTGATCATCAATTCAAACTCTTATTTATATGGGAGGAACTTCATATTACATGCTATACAACCTTGCTTGTGTGGACAATTCAATGTGGTTTTTCTTTTAAGTTACTAAAAAATAGTAAATAGTTGTAATCTACTGGTAGTGTTATTACATGTAACATCGTAGTTTGTAAGTTTAAAGCACTTTAACTCTTTTTAATTTTATTTTTTTTGGCAACGATAACAGTAATTAAAAAAAGCATTTAGATGTTGCAAAAAGTCCAATTGTATATCATTTTCGTTACACCGGACTTTTATTAAATTGAATTAAATTTTATATGATTATTATGTTAATTATTTTGTGTTTGCCTCAAAAAAAATTCTAGATCCACCTGAGCACCACTACGATATGGCTTTCTGAGTCAATACGTGACCGTAGAAAGGATTAAACAAAGATTCATCACGTTCATCTAATCGATTAATAATTCAACCTTTTACTTGCGTCAATCGATTCGTTTTTTTTATTAAGTTGAATATTCAACCCGTTATGTGAGCCGACTAATCTCATGACGACCATTCACTTTACTGGTAGTCAAGAGTCACTGTATTTGAACCTTCGTGGCCACAAAGGGTTTTTTTATTGCTCTTTGGATTTGAACCTGTGACCTCCGGTCACTTTTGACATTTGAAGCCTAAGCTTAAACCAATCGAACACCACCCTTGTGGTTAATCGATTGGCATTGTAACGTGAATATCAATAGTGTTGTTAATTTTATCTCTTAAAACTTTATCATCTAGATGCTTTTATTTTTCAGAAACAAAAAATCCAAAAAATATTGTTATAAACTTGACTCGCATAGTCTGAAGTAATTACCTATTTGCAGAACTTATGCAAATGAATGATGAATTGGACGTAAATGGATGAAATTCAATTTATTCACTTATGACAAGAATTAATAAATTCATTGACTTATGAAATTCAAAAGAATTTCAGTTATTTCAAGAAGTGGATCAAACAAAAGCATTGAAATTTGGTTGAGAGGAATTGATCATTGAAATTCCCTTAAAATCCCATGGATTCCATGAACCAATTAACACCTACGTGCCTGTTTGGATTTGCATGATTTGAAGGGTTTAAAATTTGAAATCTCACAACTGACGAATTTAGAAATCTATTCAAGGTTTGTCCATGGAGGGTGAGTCAGGGCCCATTTTGCATTTCTTCTTTTGCCTATGAATAATTTTTCCAACCTATAGATCCTATTGGTCCACGTCATTTCGGGCCATTTGGATACGACGCTGAAGTAACCCATGACATGCTCCCAAGAAAAGTATCATCTCATTTATACCAATAAAACCGACTCGTATGTCTATGGATCCATTACATTACAGTCTATGGAATGGCGGGAACCATCCACGTATCAGTTTGTTGCCAAAGCTTGAGAAGGTAATTGATGAGGAAAAGAAAGTAACCCATTCCTCATTGATGGACGATACCCAGAAGGCTATTTTGGAATCAATGTAAGACTGATAGATGATAATGTTGACATCTGCTATCCTCCTATATTTTTGAAGTGGTGGGAACATTGATATCAGACCTAGTGCTACAAGTAACCATGATCATTTGTACTATGACTCTGCTAATGTCATAATTTGTGCACTTGGATCCCTGTATAATAGCTATTGTTCGAATTTGACTAGCCTTTGAGAGAACTCGGCTTTCACGGGGTCTGACGCATTGCTTCTGTTGTCGTTGTTCCAACTTCAAGCTGCTTGATTGAGCTGATAGAAACTCCATTTGTTGTGGTGACTTTGAGCGAGATCGAAATTGTGAATCTTGGCAGAGTTGGGCTTGGACAGAAGAGTTTCGACATGGCGATTGCATTCAAGGACTGCGAGCGAGACGTGCGTCGAATCGATTCAATCCCTTCAACATCGCTAGACGGTCAAGGAGTGGCTTGACACCTTGATGTACCTTAACACATACTTTTTAACATAAGTTAACATGTCTAAATATGAAACCTTAACATATTTAAAATTGAAAACAATAAAATTTAAATACCTTAACAAACATTAACATGAAGAACGATGAAAATTAACGTACTTAAAATATATTAAAAAACCTTGTCAAGAAAATGTTAAAATACGCATAATTGGTGGGACCAGCCTAGATGCGGATGGTTGAATGACTGAATTGCCCCCGCCTGTTTACGCGAAGACTCTCAACTTATGCAGGAGTGAGCAAACAGTTTCAAATGATTGATGCATTATATATATTATTTAATTACAAAATTTAGATAGAACGGTAGAAATATGAAAATACCCTTACTTAGCGAGTCCCATGGATGAAAACCAAAAGGAATTGCAAACCATAATTACAAAAACTGTAATTCCCAAAAATGAGAGACGATAACAACAGTTTTAACACAAACCACAAGGAAGAAAAACATAATTTATCATTTAAAACACAAATTTCATTAAGAGGGTGTTTGGGATTGCTTATTTGAAACAACTTAATGTTTTTCTACAAAATCACTTATCAATTTTTTATAAGTCAGAAAGATTTAACTTCTTCAAAAACTCCTTATTACCGGTTTGACACCGGTATAAGTTGTTTGTCCAAAAGCTTATTATCGGTGTCACACAGGAATAAGTCAATAAATTATTTTGATAAGCAATTCCAAACACCCCCTAAAATGTAAAGTATTTTGTTCATATTCCTAATTTGGGTAACATATTCTATAACCTTTTTATTTTGGCACTTGAAATGTGACGTCTTGAACATTTAAGTATCTAGATAGTAGGTAACCAATTACCATGATATTGTGGCCAACGATATTACATGCAATTCAATATTATTTGATAATTTTAACAGATCTTGAGGCTCAACTTTATTTACTCAGTTTCATTCTTCACGTTTGTCCATTTCCAACGATTTTCATCCTTTGGACTAACAACTATTAAAATACGGGAAAAACTAACAACTATTTTAGACAAAAACTTTTCTCCTGGTTTAAAACGATCTATATTAATACCGAGTTTAAATCAGATACGACATGCACTTCTATCTCTCAGATCTATCTCTTGATCTTGCAGTCAGCAACGAAGTTGCTGTGGAGATTGCAGGTTTTAAGTGGAATAAACTCAACTAAACAATCTAACAAGTATGAAACTTTACGACTGTGGATCTTGTTTCTTACTCTTCTGAGAAAGAAGATAATCACCAAGATATATATAAATATATATACACACACACATACATACATACATACATATGTGTACTCCAGTGGTCGACTTGTGATTGTTAGGATTGTCATCTTAATTTGCCATAATTTCAACAAGTATGATTACACTGTCAAAAAAGTAGGATAATCGTTTTCCTTTACTTGACCAACAAGATGCATTTTGTCGCGAAACCTTTCCAGCAACAGTTACTTTACGATCACGAACCGTATTCCATCAATCTCACTTTACCGACGAACCCATTCACCACAAGAAAACTACACTGCTAATCAAACAGATACAGTCGTTACAAGTGATATTAAAACCGATGAAAAACGTATTATTAACTTCGTCAAAATCCAAACTAGTCGAAAAATTCCGCCCTTTTCATCCGTCATAAATGACGAATAAAGTCAAAATTATTTTTGTGTCATTTTTAAAAAAGATTTGATGAAAATTTAAGGTGGGAAATGTGTTTTTAGGAAGCGGGAGCCCAATATGACACATATAAAAGGCGATGATGAAAACCAAAGGGTTACTTCATTTTAGTCGGGGAAGTCAAAATACAACACAAGCGAACCAAAATACGTAATGACCTTGCCCTATTCTGGCTCGCTCATCCTCGCCTTGCAACCCTTCTCCGCCGTCTTCTCCGTCTCCGTCTGCCTCTGCACCGCCGCCGCCCCCTTCTCCGCCGTCTCCTCGCTGATTTTCGTCTGATACCTTTTCGATCGATCAGGTAAATTTTGTTGTGATTACAAATTTTGGGAGTTTAGGTTTTCAGATCTACGATTGATTTTACGAAAACTTGTAGGAAATACCGAAAGGGGAACATTAAGTTTTTTCGTAATTTTGAAGTGCGAAAAACGACGATGGTTATTAGGGCCAATCTGAGTAAATTAGTAATCGTGTTATATGGATTGTTGTTACGATCGGCGTTTTGGTTTTTCATTTTATATCACTGAGGTCTTGTTCGTGTAGGAAACCTAACTGTTAGGATTTTCTTGAATGTTTTGTAAATTTGGAAATTGTTGAATCACTTTTTTTGTAGGAAATTTGTACATGAATTCTGATATTGAGATAGAATTAGTTCTGATGGTATAGAATACGTTTATATCTTAAATTGATACAATAATTTCAGGCTTTTAAGTAGACTCTCTGAGTTTATATCTCCTGAACGAAAATACCTTTGGTATCTTGTTTTTTTATTTCATACCTTGTAAATGCGGATTTAGTTGAGAAGACACTTGGTCTAATACTCTCAAAATTTATCCAAGATTTGAATGCTTGTATTATTGTTTGATATGTGGGGCAATTAAAGCCATGTTTACCTGAGAATTAAGACATGAATTATCTCTTTTTTAATCTTGAGAACTGCACATTGAAGTGTCTAAACTATCTTCTACATTTTAATTTAGTATATTGTAGTATTGGAACTGATGAATTATTTAACCAGGTTCCCCTGGATTGGTGATTCAGTAAATGGCAGATCATAGGAATGGTGGGAACCACCCACCTGCCAGTAAGGGTACCGGTGGAGCTGGAGGTGGGTATGCAATCGATGCCACTACCTTGGTCAGGCGGCTACAGTCTCTTTATTCTCATTGGCGGGAACACAGAGATGAGTTATGGGGATCTTCTAATGCCTTTGCAGTAGCTACCCCGCCTCCTTCTGATGATCTTCGCTATTTGAAGTCTTCAGCTCTGAACATTTGGTTGCTTGGTTATGAGTTTCCAGAAACGATTATGGTTTTCTCTGACAAGCAGATGCATTTCTTATGCAGCCAGAAGAAGGTATCCCTACTTGATGTTGTAAAGAAGTCTGCTAAAGAGGCAGTAGGTGTGGATGTTGTGATGCATGTGAAAGCAAAGAATGATGATGGGGCTACTCAAATGGATGCCATATTACGTGCCATTGAAGCTCAAGAAAAATCAAATGGAAATGATGATACCCCTGTTCTTGGGTATATAGCAAGAGAAGCTCCTGAGGGGAAGCTTTTGGAGAGGTGGACTGAGAAAATGAAGGACTCAAGCCTTCAGCTTTGTGATATAACAAATGGATTGGCAGATCTTTTTGCTGTGAAGGAGGCTGGTGAGATTACAAATGTCAAGAAAGCTGCATATCTCACTGCTTCTGCAATGAAGCAGTTTGTTGTTCCAAAGCTTGAGAAGGTAATTGATGAGGAGAAGAAAGTAACCCATTCCTCATTGATGGACGATACTGAAAAGGCTATTTTGGAGCCAGCTAGAATCAAGGTGAAACTGAAGGCTGATAATGTGGATATCTGCTATCCTCCTATATTTCAAAGTGGTGGGAACTTTGATATCAGACCTAGTGCTACAAGTAACGATGATCATTTATACTATGACTCTGCTAGTGTCATAATTTGTGCACTTGGATCCCGGTATAATAGCTACTGTGCGAATGTTGCTAGGACTTTTCTCATTGATTCCAATGCTACACAGAGCAAGGCTTATCAGGTTCTTCTTAAGGCCCATGAGGCTGCTGTTGGTGCATTAAAACCTGATAATAAGGCTAGTGCTGTTTACAAGGCTGCTTATGCAGTGGTTGAGAAGGAAGCACCTGAATTTATTTCTAATTTGACAAAATCTGCGGGGACAGGCATCGGTCTTGAGTTCCGCGAGTCTGGATTGAGTCTTAATGAGAAGAATGAAAGAATCTTGAAAGCAGGGATGGTTTTAAATGTTTCACTTGGTTTTCAGAACATGCAGACAAAGAGTAGCAAAGCCAAGAGCCAGAATTACGCGCTATTGCTTGCTGATACTGTTATTATAACTGCTAATAGCCATGAAGTTGTCACTTCATTAAGCTCTAAAGCTTTTAAAGATGTTGCCTACTCCTTCAACGATGGTGAGGAAGAGGAGGACGAAAGGCCACAGGTGAAGGTTGAGGCTAAACGCACAGAGGCTTTGTACTCCAAGGCAACACTCAGGTCAGACAACCATGAAATGTCAAAAGAAGAGCTTAGGAGGCAGCATCAAGCTGAACTCGCGAGACAGAAGAACGAAGAAACTGCTCAACGACTTGCTGGTGGAAAAAATGCAACAGGAGATGGTAGATCTTCTTCAAGAACATCAAATGATCTAATCGCTTATAAGACTGTAAACGATCTTCCTCCTCCTAGAGATATGATGATTCAGGTAGACCAAAGGAATGAGGCCATCCTCATTCCGTTATATGGAAGCATGGTGCCTTTCCATGTGGCAACTGTCAAGACTGTCTCCAGCCAGGCTGATACCAGCCGAAACTGCTATATTCGTATTATCTTCAATGTCCCTGGCACACCCTTCTCCTCGCATGATCCAAGCTCCATAAAGAATCAGGCAGATATTTTCCTGAAGGAGGTCTCCTTCCGCTCAAAGGACCCAAGACACATTAGTGAAGTAGTACAGCAGATAAAAACACTTAGAAGGAATGTTGTTTCTAGGGAGTCGGAAAGAGCTGAAAGAGCATCATTGGTCACCCAGGAGAAACTTGTGCTTGCAGGGAACAAATTCAAGCCAATAAGATTGACTGATCTCTGGATCCGTCCCCCATTTGGTGGCCGTGGAAGGAAGCTTCCGGGTACTTTAGAAGCTCATGATAATGGGTTCCGATATTCGACATCAAGGTCAGATGAACGTGTGGATATTCTTTTTGGTAACATTAAGCATGCCTTCTTTCAGGCAGCAGAGAAGGAAATGATCACGCTGCTGCATTTTCATCTCCACAACCACATCATGGTTGGGAACAAGAAAACAAAAGACGTCCAATTTTATGTTGAAGTGATGGATGTTGTGCAAACCCTTGGAGGTGGAAAGAGATCTGCTTATGACCCAGATGAGATTGAGGAAGAACAGAGAGAAAGAGACCGTAAAAACAAGATCAACATGGACTTCCAGAATTTTGTTAATCGGGTTAATGATCTATGGGGACAGCCGAAATTCAAGGGGCTTGACCTCGAATTTGACCAGCCTTTGAGAGAACTTGGCTTTCATGGGGTCCCTCACAAAGCTTCTGCTTTCATAGTTCCAACTTCAAGCTGCTTAGTTGAGCTGATAGAAACTCCATTTCTTGTTGTCACTTTAAGCGAGATCGAGATTGTGAACCTTGAGAGAGTTGGGCTCGGACAGAAGAATTTTGACATGGCGATTGTGTTCAAGGACTTCAAGCGTGACGTGCTTCGAATCGACTCAATCCCTTCAACATCGCTTGATGGCATCAAGGAGTGGCTCGACACCACCGACATTAAATACTATGAAAGCAGGCTGAATATGAATTGGCGGGCCATACTAAAAACAATCACAGATGACCCACAAAACTTCATTGACGAAGGAGGGTGGGAGTTTTTGAATTTGGAAGCTAGTGACTCAGACTCTGATAACTCACAGGAATCTGACCAGGGTTACGAGCCATCAGATGTGGAGCCTGAGTCGGAGTCAGAAGACGAGGGTTCCGACAGTGCGTCATTGGTGGAGTCAGATGAGGATGAGGAGGAAGAGGAGGAGGAAGGGTCGGAGGAGGAAGAAGGGAAGACATGGGAGGAGTTGGAGAGGGAAGCAAGCAACGCGGACAGGGAGCATGGGGACGAGTCGGACAGCGAGGAGGAGAGGAAACGAAGAAAGATGAAGGCGTTTGGGAAGTCGCGAGCGGGTGCGAGCAGCAGCGCTCCGAAACGACCGAAGTTCAGGAGGTAAATCTATTCTGAGATTAGAAATAGTGGGATTTGTTCTGTTATTAGGAGTTGGTTGTTTTGGGAAGTTGGAAGGTGCTGCAATATTTTGTCTGTTAAAGTAAGGGGAAGATCGAATCTGGTAAAGACTTGTTTGGTTTTGATATGGTAATCCATCAATATATTTGGTGAGATGATGATCTCTAATTTTCATCTGCTGCTTAAAACACAAATAATCATGAAGATGACAGAAAAAGTAGAGTAATTAGCCTAAAAATGCTTGATTGGGTTTATGGCCACTAGACATATACTTGTTCTGTTCATTTTTGTCTCGTTCAGCTCTGTTCAATCTTACCTTCTTATCTTGTTCGGTTTTTTCTGTCCAGTTCTATTGAATCATGTCTGCGTATCAATCACTACCTACCTTAGGGATATATATATATATACACTAAATGGAAATGCATAAATGCATTTTGAAATATTTTTTAGAGAGAGAAACATAGATTCATAAAGACCAATCTAAGAGGAGGAGATTTTCATCATGGAAGAAGAAGATATGATGTATTTAAATCATTACCAAATTAGATTGTTATCTCAAATGCAACCTCATTGCTTCTTCCCTTCTCATCATGTATGATATTTGATATTATCACATATCATATGTGATCATTGGTACTTGATTTTTATATTTATCATTATTTTATCAAATGTATGTGTATAAAAATTTACATAACGGATCATATATGATAATGTATGTAACAGATCATATGTTAAACATAAGTAACCACATGTGATTCAAAATGTGGATCCAAACGATAGAGAGAAATGGTGAAAACGATAACAGATTGATTGTGAATATCACATGTGATATTTGACGAAAGTAGTGAGAAAACAAATCTTAAAAAATATGTGAAAATAATAAAAATGAATTAATTAAAATTAAAATTAATATATCTAAAATATATAACAAGATTTTTAACGGAATTCAAATAATGTTTTTGTTCTAAGTATACCCTCGAGAGAATATTTGATCAAATTCAAAATCACTTTAATTTATAACATTATTTTTGATTTTTTTTATTTATGATATTTTTCAATGGTCTATGTGATTTAGGGGCCGTTTACCAACACATATTGGGCAAGTGTAGATCGAAAATGGTTGTTTACCAATTGTCTGGGTAAGTGTTGACTTAAGCACTGACCGAGTCAGAAAGCAACCCCTTCCATACTGGATCAATATATCAGTCAGCATATTTATGGGTCAAAGGGTATCGGTATACAACATCCCTTCCAACCGGCTAAGGACCTCTTACCTAGTAAGAGGCAATCGCAGGTAGTAAACAACCCCTAGATTGTTTCATGCCTTCTTGCAAACTGACCACTTTCTCTTTTGAACTCAATCCTATTTTAGAAAGAGTAAATTACGCTTTTGGTCCTTATGGTTGCCACTCATTATTAACTCTCCTCCTTCTTTGGAATTAATTACACTTTTGATCATTGTGGTTGCCACTTTGTTTCACTTTTGGTCCTTTTGGTTATCATTTTGTTTCGAGTTTGGTACATCTTGTTAACTCCGTTAAAACCACTCAGTTACATTGAGGGTATTTTGGTCTTTTTTACTTTTTTTACTTTTTTTTTCATTTTTGCTTAATCAAAGTTGTTATGTTTTTATTTTCTCTAAATTAATCTCGAGTATACATATGAATTAAGCTTATGTACAACCTGTTTATGGTGCTCCACCCATACCCCCACAGTCCTACAATCCCACCGATCCTCCCTCTTCGATCATCTTCTTCGGGAACTAAAACCTTGAAACAAGATAAACTGAATATAAATTAATGAGCAAAAATCCATACGAGAGCTAAAAACCCAAATCTGATGATGTTCAAATTTGAAAATAAACACGAAGGACATTACAAAGATGATGTTCATGTTTGATTTTGTTCAGATCTGAAAATAAACATAACCCACATCCAGGTTATGTCTCGAGTTGGTTTAAGAAGGGAGCTAACACTAAATCAACAAGCAAATCAAAAGTATATCACAACAAACACATTAACTATAAATGAAACTGGTGCACATAAAAAACCGAAATGAGAACCAAAAACCAACCCCAATCTAATGATTATATTGGCCAGCTATAATTTGAATTTACTTTACAAATCGTTCTTCTAACCCATTATTTTTATTCCCAAAAGTTGTAGAAATGTCAGGACCCTTAATATGCAAATAATACAGTTTAAGTTTAGACATCATGTTGAATACCTAAATCTCTTAAGCTCAGACTCTGATACCAAACTTGTAACACCCGAAATCCATATTTGCATAAAATCCACATATTCCATATAACATGAAATACAAATATACACATTGGTCCAAAATGTACAAATTGCTCTTTTTAAAAGTATCTACAAACTTTTTGCACATTTAAAGTACATGACTTGCACATAATACACCCTCAAGTACATGGATATAAAAATCAGCTTCCCAAAAAGTTCACAGATGTAAACAATATTAATCCCTTTCAGATCTTCCTCCTCCCTTTACCTTCCACCGGAGCCCGACCTGTAATGCACATTTTTAACACAAAATGAGAGTTAGACCATAAGATCTAGTGAATAATCCCTTATTTGCAATTACAGGATGAAAATTACCAAAACACTTTTTAGTAAACTCAAATTAGAAATGATAACAAATAAATTATATTTTATTATAACAAATTTCTTTTGTCGCATCATATAGACGAGACAACCCTAATTCTTCGCATTAAACATATACAAACCAATTTGTCACATCAAACTCATATTACACCAACTTGTCGCATCAAACATATATATGAGCACATTTTTGTCGCATTCAACTAATGCGACAAACCCAATTTGTCGCATACAACTATGCGATAAATACAACTCATCGCATCAAGCACATGCAATTACCACCCCTTATCGCACCACACTGATGCGCTAAACACACTTGTCGCACCTTAAGGATGCGATAAACCAACTAATCACATCAAGCATATGTGATAATCTCTCTTTGTCGCACCACAAGAATGTGATATCCACCACTCATCACATTACACTGATACGATAAAAATCAAACTCATCGCATCACAATGATTCGATAACAGTATCCCATGATCAAAGATCCTCATTTCTAGAAATTGATTATGTCACCCTTATCCCAGTATACCTAGCTCCTAACTATGTCACCCTTATTACAAAAATGTACTCAACTCCTGATTATGTCACCCTTATTACCAAATAATAACAGCTTCTGATTATGCCACTCTTATTACCAAATAATACTTAGCTTCTGATTATGCCAAAAATATGGTAATAAATAACATATAATCATATTCAAAACACCCAACTTATGGAACCATACGGTTTCTTAGCAAAGCAAATCGAATGATGCTTTAAATATAAAAACTCGATCTTGTAAACAAGTAGATGAAGATGCTTTAAAAATTATAAGTTATTTTTTTAGATGGTAAAAATAGCATTTTAACCATTATTGATTATTGATGTCTTAAATCCAGTAAAAACATCAATAAAATAGAAAACAAAAAACAAGAAATTAGTGAAGGAATGTAATTAACCGTTGATACGAAATTGCAAATTAATTAATTAATTAATTAATTAATTACCCCAAAAATATCGAAGATTTTCGTTATCCTATGAAAAGGAAACAGCTAACAATTATCTCCTTCAATTCTACTCTTAATTCAACTCAACTTCTGCTTTCATTCCAAGTCTCCAAAACCCTCTCTTCTTCTTCTTCTTTCTCCTTTCCTTCTCTTCCAAGATGCAACCTTCTACTTCCAGTTCTCATCACAAGCCACAGAAACGCAGCCGTCGTTGGCCATCAATGGCGGCCAAACAGAAAAAATCCAAAGAAAAGAGTTGCAGGAGGAACATTGCCACATTCTTGGATTTGATGGGGTTTCAAGACGATCATTCTACTGTTACAACTGAACTATTGCTCCAAAAACTGCGTCAGATGAAAGGAAAACAATCAACGGYGATAGCAGGTTCAAGAATCAGAAGGATTACTTTCAATTTCGATGGAGAAGTATCTGTTATCCAACAAGATTCAACAACGGTGCTTGAATCCCCGCATTTCAATGAAGTTTGCAGCGGTAGTAATGATGGTAATGTGGAAGTTATGATAACAGAAACAGATGATTCAAGGAAGTTTCTGCCAGAACTAGGAAACCCTAGTTTTGATGATCAGATGGCGATGAATGAGGACGAGGGTGATCACAATGTCGTCGAGGATCAGGGAAACAATGGTGGCGCCGGAGAGTTGTTAAGGGATTTTATAAGAAACATCGGTGGTTCATGGGAGAGTRSTGTGTTGGTGTTAGAGAAGCGGCTGACAAAAACAGATGTTAACTTCAAAGAAGGCCGTCTGCTGATGCCAATAAYACMAGATARATATCAAGACTTCTTGACGGCACCRGAGAAAGAGARACTTATTGSGCAWGAAGACATGAAGGTGTGGRTGTTTGACCCTGAACTTCGAAAGTCAACAYTGAATCTTMGACTATGGAAGATGAAGCAACAATATCTGGTGCTGAAAACCCAATGGAACCAAGTGGTGGCAGCAAATAAATTGAAGGAAAACATGGTCTTGCAGGTGTGGTCGTTTAGGGTTGATGAACAATTGTGTTTTGCACTTCTTCGTGTTGATCATCGACGATGATGGTATAGATATGTATAAGGATTGGGTTTGAGCCGCTTCAATCCCTAGGTCTAAAAAATCTTTAATTATATCGTGTACCAAACTGTTTCATTTATTTAAGGTTGGATCCTTGAGCCTCTTGTGTGCATTTTGGCTCAATTATGAGACGACTATGCTTTTTCTGTTCTCGGTTTGAAGTTTTAGATTCTTTTGTGAATGAAAAAGATGATTAAGAAATAATAGTCATAAATGTGTAATGGGTTGGTCACAAGCTACCCAAGAGTTATCAATGAGAACAAATTATTTACAGTTAAGAATAGAGCAAATGTTACATATATCTTACTCTCACATACTCTATATATACTGTATTTGTTTGATTTGATTTAGTCTGCTTTTAGCATTACGTCAAAAGTTTGATTTTACGTGATACAAAATGTAAGGGGCCGTTACCGAACACTTACCCGATAAACGCTTACTGATAAATTTAACACTATCATTTATTTAGCGGATAATATTTTA